GATCAGTGAGTCCCATCTTCCAACAAGGATCTTCCAATTTAACATGAAAATAGTGTAAAACAAAAGGTTTGCATTGCGCGCACACATAAAAAAAGATAAATTAACAGACGCAACCAAGTACATCAATTCATTTTGTATGGACATAATCAGAATATTTTTTTAAGAGAAAATTATGTGTATATCCCTCTAATTCACGATATTTAGTTTTTACCAAAAAAAAATTCTGTATTAACTTCATACCCTTTTTTTCACAGATCTTTTAAAATGACCAATTTGCCCATATTTCGGATTTCCAACATCCGTAAAATTTAAAAAGAAATTGGATACTGAAAATCCAAAATTACTTCCGGAATCCATGGGTCCCAAATCGAATGTTGTGCTCTAGGCCCAAAATATTCGCATATTTTCAATATCCGAGACTTTAAAAAGTTTTAGATTGTGAAAATCCAATCCATAGGTCCTAGATCAAATATTGTGCTCTGGGCCCAAAATATTTTTGAATTACAAATACCTGAAAGTTAAAAAAGTAAAAAATAAAATAAAATTGGATAGTAAAGATCCAGAACTTCTTCTGGAATCCATGGGTCCCTTGTGCTCAAGGCCCAGAAAAATTTTCAGATTCTCACAATGCGAGAGTCAAAAATATTTTGGGCCCCTCAGGTCCCATAGCAAAGAGGTTTTCTTTTGGGGATGCCTAAAAATTTTCAAATTTTGAATGAACAAAAAATAGGTTCAAAAAAAAAATAGTTAAGATCCAAAAGTTCTTCTGGAATCCATGGGTCCCAGAGTGACTGTCGTGCTCAAGGCCAGAAACATTTTCAGATTTTCACAATGCGACAGTCCAAAATATTTTGGGCCCCTTGGGTCCCACAGAGAAGAGGTTTTCTTTTGGGAATGCCTCAAAATTTTCAAACTTTGAATGACCAAAAAATTGGTAGTTTCAGAACAAAAAAAAAGAAAACGAAAATGTTGCCTATGTATATAAATTTAAAAGTTTGATGGGAATTTCTTTGATAATGGAAACAATGGAGGATATTCATGTGATTTGCCCTTTTTAAAGATTACTGCCAAATGATATTTATGAGAAGAAAAATTGTGAAATGCCTGACACCAGAACAAGCATTTCCAGTAAAGTACGCAAGAAAAGGAATGTTCTTGGCAACACCGAATAAAAGTACCAAAGCTTCAAGATAAGAGAAAAATACAATCAACATGAGAATTCGATCAATTTTTAAGCAATTGTAGGCTATGAAGTAGACTTAAAAAAAAAAAACTGTTAACTTGGCTATGCAATAAATTGTATGCATGAAATCCGACTTCTCTATTTTTTTTCTTGTTTTTTTTTTTTGGATAATGATTTTGACTTCGCTTTACAAGTAAAGAATCTACATAACAAGAAAAGTGAAGTAACAAAACTAAATATGTCAGATCTTGACAATAGTAACCACATTTTTTTTTATGCTGTACAATAACAAACAACATATTACCTTAAGCTTCTTTTTGTTTTGGGTTCCAAGTTTCACTGCAATCTGGATTTAATAGCATAGAACTCCTACAATTGAGTTCCCTTTCTTCTGACCATTGGATCCATCTTATCTCCAATAAGGTTCGTGAGTTTCCTTAAAAATCCATATGAATTTTATTTATTGTTAGAAGCACATGCAGCGTACATTCAAAATAAAATGCGTAGAGGACAATAAATGGTTTGGCAAACACTTGAAAATACTTAGCTTGAATCAAGACATAGGACCTTGTCCATGCACTGACATTCAACCAAATCGAACCTCATCTTCCCTAGCTTGAGGTTTGTCTTAAACTAAGGCCTCTGTACAGCTCAGCACAAATTTCGGATCAGTATATGTTCAAGAGAAAAGATGAAAATGTAGTGCATTACAAATATTAAAAAAGCAGCCAGTCAAAACTAAATTGAATCCTGACCTCATTGTTTGAATCTTCAAGGGCCTGATAAACTCTTTTCTTTCTTTCTTCTTATTCTTCTTCTTCTTTTTTTTTTTCTGGTTGGGTAAGTAATGTCACAGTGAGAGGAACATATACATCAAAATGCACTCATAAAATACAAACCAGTGTTTAAAAACACGGAACCAGGCAGGGGCCAAGATCAAGTCTGTACGTTCAAATTGGCCTAGGTTCAACAGAACTTTACCAGGTCTATTGAAAAATAAAACAAGAAGGGTCCAAAAGTCTAAGACTCGGAGGAATCCAGAGTCATTGACATTGGACTCACCAGGATCCTGACCCAAACCAAACCAGAGTTTTTTTTTTAATGATGCAAAGCTGAGACATGCACCAGAGAGAGAGAGAGAGAGAGATGGAGAAATAGGAATGAGTTACAAAACATAGTAAAAGACACATGATTTTTATTTTATTTTTTTTGGATGAGTTAACTGGTAAAAGACACAGGATTAAGAGTCCAATATTCCTAAAGTGTGCCCCCCTCTCTGTACGTACGGCAGAAGAAAGTAGAAACATAAGATGGAATCAGCCTGAGATTATACTTCATTATATCTGCCATGAGCAGCATGCAGGGGCGCTCTCTTGAAGCTCACCAAATGACATGAAGAAAATCCCCCTCAAAATCAGTGAAGCAGAGGAAGAATCCATAAATTCCCTCAGACAAATTACCAGGGAAGGTATCATCAAAGAAAAATACTGTTTCTTTCGCATCAACCAACCGTTAAAATAAGCACGTAATATCTTGGGGAGATCAAGATATTTTACATCGCCACAATAAAAAGAAATTAACAGATAATGGAGAAGGAAAACTGTTTTTTATTGCATATTTTTCCAGTAGAAAGGAAATGGAGTAAATTGATCCAGCAAGGTGAAGTACTCCAAATTCAATTTATTTTCTTTTTGTTGAATATCAACATTCAATTGCCATTGATATGTAAAGCATGTTTGTAGTTTGTACCTCTTTATATTGCTTATATGATAGAACTAATTATATAGAAGTTTCAAGCTAAAGGCATAGTGTCACACAGGACACCTTAAAACCCTGTGACCTCGAAATGGCTTCAACCATTCATCAACAAAAAAATGTGGAAGTTAAACCACTGTATGTGTGATGGCCTAGAAAGTCATAGCAGACCAGTAGAAATATAATACCACATATAACAGACCAAATCACACACATGGATACACACACAACACATATTATCAGTTATTACCAAATACCAATACACAATTCTCCCATGTATAATGTCTGTGATAAGTCAGAGTATCACCGATTTCTTTAATTGAAACAAAAGAACAGAACCATTATGCATCAAGGGAAACATGAAACCTTATCAATGTCACATGCCATGATTCACTTGCAAAACCAAGTTAGTCCACTCAGTAAAGGCACAGCCAGAGTTGCAACTCAAAGGTCAAGAGAACAAATGCATAAAAGTATAAAAGTATTATCCTCTACAAGCACTTTTTTTTGGGTAATTATCCTCTACAAGCCCTTCATTAATCAAGAGTACAAAACAGACCAAGTCAAAATGGTGTCACTGTTTCACATAAGGCACATATCCAGTAAGTAATAATAGAAAATGCAACAAAAACATGTAAATGCAGCCATGTGATTTTCAGCGAATGAAACAGTGAAAAGCCAGTCAACCAATGAGTTTCCTGACCACAAATTACTGAGGATATGACTACATTGTTTTATAACAATAATTGCCTATAATGAAAGATATATATTTATAGAGAGAGAGAGAGAGATGATCATATTTGATGCTTCAGCCCTGGTATGCATGCCAATTAATCAAAATGATCATACAAAACTCTCCACCAAAAATGCCTCGTCAAGGAACCTTGAAATAGTATAGCATCATAAAGCACCTCACTAAAGAAATATGTGCCCAAGAAATGTTGCCCCGTGAAAAACAACCAGCTGCTCAAGCTTGCATGGGCTTCACGGTATTCAATGATAACATTTTCATTCAAAATTCCATTGATTGGTTGGAAACTACCCACATCAGCTACTCGGCACTCTTCTTGTTCCTGAAACTCTCTTTCAGGATTGCAAATTTCTTCATGCACTGAATCTTGGTCTTTCCAGGAACAGCAGCTGTAACTCTCTCCCATCTCTGGCTTGTTTCCTTCGGAAATGTTTTCAAAGCCCGAATAAGCGCTCTCTCCTGGGTAGGAGTCCACGAATCCTGATCACTACCAGATGGAGCTCCATTTGATACAGATTGCGCAGCTGGGCCAGATGGGTTTTCAGTTTCTGGTTTCTTCTGGTTGCTCCCACTGGTTAAGGATTTCTCTGATTCAGTTTTTTGTGGCACCCCAACTGGTCCATTGTTCTCAACCCCATTGACAGATGCATCTTTGGTCTCATCTCGACTGCTAAGAGGTGAAACAATAGACTGAACCGGCTTCCTTTTCTCTAGGAAAGAATCAAAAGCTTTAGCAGAGTCAGGCTTCTGCAGAAGAACAGTCTTGGTGGCTTTAAGAATCTCATCGACTGATCTTCCTGTGCCAATATACTCTGAAATAACCTCCCATCTCCGTGAAGTTCCCTTTGGGTATTTCTGCATTCCCTTCCTTAGCAGCTCAATCTCTTCCTTGCTCCATGGTTTCTCTCTCTTCTCATACCCACTTAAGATATTTCCCTTATTATCAATCGAATCAGAAGAAGAGCCATTTTGAAGAGAGTTCTTCTGATCTACCTTAGACTCATCAGCACTCTTCCCTTGTAAAGCATCCTTCAACAGTTGTGCTTTCTCACTCACTTCCTTTTGTTCAATATTATCACATAAACCCCTAAGCTGTTCAGTCTCAAACTTCATGCACATACCCTCCACATCGCTCGCTGACAACCCGAGGAGATTTTTCGATACAACCTCTGCAGATAGAGTTCTCAACCGAGTCCTCTCTTTCCTCAAAAGCTTCTTCTCCTTCTCTTTCTGCTTCTTTTGATTCAATGCAGCTTCAGCTGCCTGTTTCTCTTCTTCCTCTTTCCTTTTTCTCGCTTCTTCAGCAGCCCTCACAGCCTCTTCCTCTTTCATCTTTCTAGCCAGAAACTTGGCCTCCTTTTTCTTTTGCTTCTCTGCTTTCTCTTCCTCTCTCCTCCTCAGTATTCTTGGGTCCTTTTTATATGCATTCTCAACAAAAGTACGTATCCTCGTATGCTCTTCTTTCCTTGCCCTCTCCCCAAGCTTTGCATTTTGTCTCTCCATCCATCTCTTATGATCACGAGACTCGGCTTGGTCCAAGTCGAATTCATCGGCATGGGGAAACTCTCTCCAACTTTTGAACCCAAACCAAAAGTCATAAAAGCTATCCACTTCTCCCAGTGGGGTGTTATCATCTCCCAAAGATGGGACAGATTGGGTAACAGACCATCTCCCATTTCGCATAAAAACAGGACCGAATACTTTAAAGAAGTCTTGCGGGGCACACTCAGATGGAATCTCGTCATCAAATTCATCAGTGGAATCATATATACGCCTCTTGACAGGATCTATTAATACTTCATAAGCCTCCTGGATGGCCTTAAAGTGATTTTCTATCTCATCCATCTTGGCTTGCTTTGCTTCTTCTGACTCTTCAGCCAGTAGAAGGGCCGCCTGCTTGTCCGGGTGATGCTTTAAGGCAGTCTCACGGTAGCTCCTTCGAATTTGCTCCTCGGTGGCTAAGAATCTCAAATGACCTAACCCTAAAAGTGCATAATGATCTTGTTGGTCCCCTGCTTTTTTCTTCCCTTTGCTTTTGTAAGAATCAGAAGATGGCATATAATCTTTGGACCTATCGTCAGTTACACTTTGGTCATCAGAATCGACATCTTCTTCCTCGCCCAAACCAACCATTTTGAGAGCAGCATAATGAAACGAGAGGCCAGCTGGTTCAAAATTAGTGGCCTTTACAGGAAGACAGTTCGAGGAGAAGAAAATAGGCTCTCCATTTATAATCTCAGGAGAATATGAAATAAGAGGCATGTGTATTTGAGAAACCATGATGTCCTCTCTCAAGCTAATAAACTTCAAAATTCACTACTGATAAATCAATGAACAGGTTAGAAATGTTTAAATAGTTAAACTTCACTTCATAAATATGCCCCAAACAAGTAATCCAGAATCTTATGTTATCCACTGAAAACTGTCTTCCAAAAGTTAGCAATAAGATTTAAAGTACGAGTGAAGCAGCCTTTCCTTCAAATGGCCCTTGTGATCCGTGAAGAAGAGCTGAAATCCTCTGCAAAAAGTTTCATAGTAACATTACACAATCAAATGAACCGTCTCAGAATGAACATCATACAGAACGCATTGCATTAAATAAACAAGCCCATAAATAGTAATCTCCTCACCCCATTCCCTTGAATAAAAAGCACCGGAACCAAAAAGTAAAAAAACGAAAAAACAAATATACAGCACATAAAACCCATCGAGAATCAGCTATCTACTGCTTAAGGGAGATCTCTACATCACGAAACAATATAATAGAAAAAAATGAAAATCAGAAACTCCCGGCAAAAAAAAACACTATGAGTTAAATAAACCCTTCAAGCCAATCATCCTCACTGTGCAATGTTTTGAAACAAAAATGAAAGTCCAACGAAAAGTTAACAAAGCAAACCAATAAAAACCACTAACTTTGTGGCTAAACTAGAAATACCACATCAGAAAGAACTTAAAACAACAGAGAGAACAAAATCATTCCCAAAACCAGAGCCAGATCATTCACTTTCCGAAAATAAACAACGAATCAGACATAAAGCCAAAGGAGACCCCTAAAAACATGAATCAATCACATTCATATAAGTAAGAAAACCCTAAAAATATAACAACTTAAAAATCATAAATAAGAAGGGCCAGACATATATGAAACCCTAGAAGCCAATATTCAATCACATTTAGATGCAAAAGCAACAGCTCAACAGAAATAACAGCCAAGAAATAAATAAGTCAAAATACATATTGGATTGTCAAAAAGCAGAGATGGGGAAACTTGCCTGTAAGAAACTGATTGTCAGCTAAGATACAAGATTAAAGACAGAAAGCACAGGGTTGAATTGAGAGTTCACGGTCGGTAAGTTAACAAGGAGAGAGAGAGAGAGATAACAGAGAGGGGATAGAGGAAACAGGTTAGAGAGAGAGAGAGAGAGTACAGTAGCAAAGGAGGAAGCGGGCAATAAAAAGAGAGAGAGAGAAGGGTTTCAGGGGAGAAGAAATAAAGGGTTATGAAAAGAGAGGGTTTTATTATGGCGGCGCCGCGGAGTTTGCTTTGGCTCCTATTTCAATGGGGGTTGATAGAGAGAGAGAAGGGAGATAAATGTACACGTAAAAAGATTTTTTGGTTTTTCTCGAGGAAATTATAAGGAGGTGAGCCCATGGTGTAAAATGGTCAGGTCAGGTCGGGTCGGGCAGTTAGGATCCAGACCTGACAAACTACTATGGGACCTGGACCCGGACAGGAAAATATGACGTGGGATCCAATCTGGACCCATATCCAACCGACCCAAAAATTAAAATATGTATTTATTTGAAGGAAAAAGTTTTGTATAATAATGTTATACCTTATAATGTGGAACTACCGACGCCCGTCAAAAATCCATCGAAAAAGGTAGTTTTAATGTTGAAAAACCTTTTGATTGATCATCTCGACATCGAGATTTATAACTATAAAAAATAAAAAGATTTAAGTCCCATAAATAGTGTATTTTACAACATATTATCTACACCGTCCATTTTCAAGATTTTCATATGTTTATAGATCTACTTGATTTTAACCATTTTTTAAATTTAAAATTTTATAATTAGATATAAAAATAGATTTTGAGATAATCCTAATAATATTTTATATCAAAATTATATACCGTGATAAAATTTGAAGGTGCACCTTACCTTTACAGCTACGGATGCATCCATATACCTTATTTGAATATATTTTATAAATTGAGAAACGTGGGATCTGTACCCTGACCCGAACCCAGACCCGAATAGTATTTTTAGACTGGGACCCAACCTACAGGGTCCAATTTTTTGACCCATACCCGGACCCCCTGACCCAGGTCAGGTCTAGCTGTTTGGTCCAGGTCCATTGCCTCACCCCTAGGGTGAGGTTTGCATAAGTTGCCCACCTTATACTATCCAAGTTGAGTTTTCGTATTTTTTTTTTTTTTAGAGATTGTATACAATGAGATCGTTTACCTTTGATATATGGTGACCACAATTACTTACAAGTTACAACTATATGATGTGAAATTTGATAGTTTGGATGTATCACAAAGTTCGAAAAAATTTCTTTTGAAGTTTGAGCTTGGTCAATGGAATAATTGCAACCACCAAATTTCACGTCCAATGGTCAAGATTAATGTGACCACCTTGTACCAAAAATAAATGGTCTCATTTTATACTTTTCATTTTTTTTTAAGGGAACTTATTGGTGAAATTTTTTTGCGGAATATTATGTTAAATCTAGATTATTAATAAACTAAAATTCAATAATATTGAGTTAATGAAGAAATAAAGTTATAACGAAGAAGGTTTTTTTTTTAGTTTTTTTAAAAGATATAAAATACAGATTTATATCAGTTCCATTGAAATAAAATGATTTTTTACGATAATTTTCAAAACTCGGAGTTTTTACTTTTTAACAGATTTAAAAAAATCAGATATTATTTTTAAAAATCGTGTTTTGAATGGAGACTTGCTAACTATGGTGTAGATAACTTGTTACAAAATATATTATTTTTAAGACCTAAAATTTGTTTTTTTAATGTCTAAATATCTCCAGGTCGAGATGATCAATTTGAAGGTTTTTCTGCTTAAAACTCTCTTTTCAGCTGAAATTTTTATTAGTGTTTTACTTCTATAGTATAAGATTGTAACCTTATATGTTAACTCTTTATATTAAAGGGGTACTATCTTTATCCCCTACGAATATGTTTGATATGCCTAAAGTGGGTTTTGGAAATATCTTTTTGAAGAAAAGAGAAGGGTAATTATTATAAAATATACCTTTTTTAATTTTTTAAAAAATATAAAAGTTTTTAAAAACTACATCCATACCAAATCTTTTGCTTATTTCGCCTCAAGTTGTTTTATAAACCATCACGGTACTAATAGTATTGTCATGGCTAAGGAACTAGTAGTATCGTGATGGTTCAACATTCTTTTCTAGGCCATGACAGACTATCATTGTATGATTTGTAGAATGATGGTCCTGTGATCGTCTATAAAAGAGGGAGTTGAACCGTCATGGTCATATTAGTACCTTGATGATCTAAGGAACCTTGAATCATCACAACACTAATAGTATAGTGATGGCCATTTTAGGACACTGAATTATCACGATGCTATTAGTACCATGTTAGTCCATAAAATAACTTGAGCCATGAGTGTTGGCCGTTCGAACATAATGGTTCTAATAGAATAGTAAAGGGCACTTTTAGTAGGGATTGTATACAATGATGACATTTACCTATTGTACAAGGAGGTCAAAATTATTTATAATCATTTGATGTGAAATTTGATGGCTTGGGTGTGTCACATAGTTTTACGAAATTTTCTTTTGCAATTTGAGCTTGATAAATGGAATAAATGCATTGACCCAATTTCACATCCAATGGTCAAGATTAACTATGACCACCTTGTACAAAAGTAAATAGTCTCATTGTATATATTTTTTTGTTTTGGTAAAAATATTATATAAAAAAGTAAAGAATGGGGGTGTGGACATAGATTTCAAAGAAATTAGTTATTTTTCAAATTTGTTAGAATGGATTGAATATAATGAAACCATTTACTTTTGATACTAGGTGGTCACAATTACTTACAATCATCCGATGTGAAGTTTGATAGCTTGAATGTGTTACAAAGTTCGAGAAAATTTACTTTTGAAATTTGAGCTTAATCAATGGAATAATTGCAGCCACCGAATTTCACATCCAATGGTCAATATTAATGTGATCACTTTGTACCAAAGGTAAATGGTCTCTTTCTAATAACGAAAAAGTTTATATAACGCCGAGGCTCTAAACAATCAAACTGAAGCCCACCTCAAAAATTTCATTAGAAGATGTTTTTTTAATGCTCAAGTATCCTTAAATTAATCAACTCGACATCAAGATGTATGGACATGAGAAAAAAATGGATTTCAAGTTTTGGAAATAGTGCAATTTGTAATACATTTTTGGACTATCAATTTTCAATATTTTAAAATTCTCATATATATGCTCGATCTACACCATTTTTTAAGCTTTAAATTTTATAATTAGAAATAAAAATATACTTTAAAGATATCACAAAGATTTTCAATTTTGAAACCACAATTCTCAACACTATTTGAAGGTGTGCTTTACTTTAAATGTTTAGAGAACAGCACCCTTCTAATCATTGCCAAAAAAAAAAAAGCGTGTATTTATGTTTCTTAGGGGAAAAGATCTCTAAAATAGTCAAACGATTTTTAAAAGTAATTAAGGTGGTCAAAATTATTTAATTTACGTCATAAAAGATATCTAAAATTGTTATGACCATGAAAATCATCTCTAACATAGTCAAACGAATGATAATCCTCTTAGTAAATCCTACCTCTTATGGTTGTTAGCGACCTCCTTAAGTAGACGCAATCAAACCTAGAGAGAACAACCATATCTCTCGGTCTATGCGATGTTGTGAATATCAGACCGTCTTAAAATTGAATCCCCAATGTATGTTTGATGTCAAGGTGTGCCCCCCGAATTCTTTCGTTTCGGATGATCCGATGTTGTCAATGTCTGAACCTTGTGCCCAGTTGAAACTGAAGAATTATAGTAGTATGATACCTTTGACGCTGAACATATCATGGGGACTGAGTTTTAGGGAGGTCTGATGTTTATAACATTCAACAATATGCAAGATTTTGTATAGTCCGATGTTGTCAATGTCCGAACCCTTGTGCCCAGTTGAAACCGAAGAACCCTTGTGCCTAGTTGAAACTGAAGAATTCTAGTAGCATGATACCTTTGACGCTGAACATACCATGGGGATTGAGTTTTAGGGAGGTCTGATGTTTATAACATTCAAGACTATACAAGATTTTGGATAAATATACAGCTAATAACAACTAAAGATAAATACCAATAGTTATGAATAGACACTACCTAATCTTATCAAGAGATATGTATCAATATGATACATATCCTAATCTTATCAAAAGATATATTGATATGTATCCATTATGATTTTTATCTATATCCTAACATATCCTACTAGACCCATTTCATTTATGGCATAAACTGGGTTTTCATACTCGTCTCTGGCCACGTACTCGGCCTTTGTCCAAGGGAGTAGGCGAGTCTGAATTGTTGAAGTAGGCCCAAAAGCCCTTGAAAATTTTGCACATGAATCCTTGAATTTTTTTTCAAAAAATGCACAAAAAACATTAAAAGATAGAATAAAAATGGTAAAAGGTTACATAAAACCAAAAACAACCTAACAATGGATGCTTAAAAAATAACGAAAATGAATTTTTAAAATGAATTTATTAAAAAATACAAAATTAGGGGACATTGCAAGAAAAACTAATCAATCTCCACTAAAAATATAAACATTGATTCCCTTTCTATATAAATTTTTATAATTTCTTCCTTTTTTTTTATTTACCCCAAGTTACACAGAGGTAGTTGGAGTAACTCGGCTTGCCAAGAGAGCGAATCTGAGCAATCAGTATAATACGATATCAGGATTCTATTCATGGCATATATGAACTGTTCGAGAACGTAAACTCCCTCGTTCTAGCGATTACCTTCAAGAAAATTCATACAGATTGCATATGCACCATACATGCATTTGAAAAAAAAGTCATAAAATTGACTAAAAATTGTCAAATTTTTTGAAGTTTAGATTTTGAAACCCAAAAATCCATTTTTTTTTCTTTGAAAATACAAATCCAATTATTTTATAATGGATTCCATAATTTAGTTTAAGAAAATACTCCTCAATCTTTCATCAAAGAGCGTTGAGTATAATAATGTCGAATTCCCTACGTTCTACCTTGTTGCCGTGATCGTTCATCTCAATCATGTGTGAAGTACACAAGAAAGGGATTGCAATACAATCATCAAAGACCGGCCTAGATGGTCTAATTGGTTGGATCGTTGACTGGTGCCTTGTTTTGTTTTGTGTAGTCCAAAGAAGAAACTAAGGTAGTAAATCTAAAACTAATGTTTTGACTTATTTTGTAATATATTTTATTTTTAAAAAGTTATTTTGTAGTTTTATATTGTATAATCCATATTACAAATCGTTCACAATGCTTTATTGAATAGTAGATGGTTCTATTGCATCTTTGGGAAGTTTCTTTACAAATAGGGTTTCGGAGGTTCGTGGCCTATAAATGCCCCATATTCAAATTAGGTTCTCCCAAATGGGTCTTGAATTGCCTCAATTTCGATTTCACTAATTTTTTAAGTGCGATGAAAAATCAATCATGTTTTTTATGATTTGTTTTTTCTTGAATAATCAATCATGTTTTTTATGGTTTGTTTTTTCTTGAATGTTAACAATGCTTTCCTTCAACTAGAGTCAACATACCCGCTTGGGTAATAAAATAAATTATTTTCGTGGATATTCTCCAAATATAAGTTACTTAAAAAATTCACCCCAAATATTAATTATTTACAAATTCCCACCTACCATACCTTGTTTTCCCTATTTTGTAATTTTTCCGAAATCATACAAACTTCGGAGCTCGAACGTCTTGAGACAACTTCAAGTTGAAGACAATTCCGAACCGTAAAGGTCTGAAATTGTCAACTTCAGATCCTCAACTTTGGATCTCATCCAAAAGGTTTTTCTAATTAACATAATTCAGACATTGAAGAATCAAAGTTGTCCGAAACCTCAAAATAAAGGCAGAAGTAGGGGCAATTTGGGAAAATAATAATAAAAAAGAAAGGGGTGTTAACTGAAATTCTAGAGAGAATTCTTAAATAACATGTATTGGGGGGGATAATAGTGCAAATTTTTGAGATAAAATGACACCCAAGAGTAACATTTCAAACCATAGTTAAACAATACTTTGATTAAAACACGATTTTTTTTCATAAAATCTCTTATTATTTGAAATCCATTAAGAATGTCGAGTTTTCCAAAAGATCTTAAAACAAATCACATTTTTTGATCAATATCAAGTAATCCCAGAATCCCAAGCACCAGCAAGAGTGCCGGCCCATGAATAATCTCAGAGTTGCAGAAAATTGAGACAGACCAGGATATATAAAGACAAGAAGAGAGGAGTTAGAACGCAATCATATAGAAAGACAAGAAGAGAGGAGTTCGAACACAATTGAGAAAGACCAGGAAACAATAACCCAAAATTGCATCTTCAGACCATCAAATAGCAGGAGAACTTACACTCAAGCAGGAGAACTTTCAATCACAGGATCCTGACAAGAGAGAGAAGGCCTACAACTTAATAGGTCTAGGCCCATGTGCTGCATCGAGTGAGGAAAGGCTTCAGCTTCTGGTCCTCTTCGAGCGCAATTATCCCAACATGTGAAGGGTCTTCAAGCATCATTTTAGCGACCAAATAACCAGCTATCGACCATGTTTGCTGCTTTCGAGCTTGTTTACCTACATAACAACCATTCTTGCCATCATAATATTCTGGCCAGCCATCTTTAGCAAGCCTAGTTTCTGCTAGATCTAGAGCCCTTCTTGCTATTTGGGGCCTCCCGATTTTTATGCAGGCTGCTGTGAGTAGCCACAACAGAACTGCAAAAGAGGAATTTGTTGATTATGACTATAGCTTATTTGCTAAAAAAAGGGGTGAATCTCAAGGAGAAAAATAGAAGTCAACAAGGAAATTCAACTATATGCCAAGTACCCTTCTTATGATTTGGTTGCATACTTTTTGTAAACTAGACTAGCGTCTTAAGAGTTACAAGTCGGTAATAGTGCATTTCAGGTTATAACCTCTTATTAAATGACTGCATGTTATGCTCACGTTGAGAGCAAAATATCCATTTTCTCCCTCCAGCTAATGACCTACCTAGGAGGATTTTCTTGATTTGAGATTTTGAGATCCACTTTGGAACCACCAAATGAGTATAATAGTAAAAAAAAAAAAAGCCACATAAGAAAAGCAGATGTGTTTGTAACATCCACTTATCTTCCTAAGGAGAAAAGACCATTTTTTTAATTGATCAGTTACATAAGGACAATATTTTTTCAACTTTTAAATCTAAGAACTCCAAAATACAGGAGAAACTAAATTCTATATCTTTTGAAATTCAGGAGTTAACAAGTGCTCCCAGAAAACAACGACTGGAGATGAACAAACCATGTGATAAAAGATGTACCTACCAAAAAAATAGTGCATCTATGGGTGTTTGTATGCATTATGCATCCAGTATAAGCTTAAGATTTTACAAAAAGGATATGTTTTTCTCGGAAATTTCCATGCCAACTTAACTTTCAAAAACAAATTATGACAAAAAATTGCAAATGGCAAGATTCACCAGCATAATCTGGATTCTCAATTCTTATGATGCAACATATTATATTAAAGAAAAAGGGATTTCTAACTGCCTCAAAACTATGACATTAATACACCTTTTTATCTGTATTCTGAAGCTCATATGATATTTTATTTGGAAAAGAAACTCTGCTAACCTTCAACATCACAATAAAGCTACAAACATGCCATGGGCACAATGAATAGGACTACAATTTTATAGGTTCAATGAGGATGTCCACACGAGTTCTTGCCAGACCATTTATAGAAAAAATAGAATGAAAGAAAACTGTTCTTACCAGGCCATGAACCACCATTATGGTAGCTCCATCTGGTGTTTTTGGGATCGCAACCAGTTACTATCCTCCACTCATGACCGTCAATAGCAGGATAAGAGACTTTGAGAGGCATTTCACCAACTAGATCCTGCCACCTCTCCTCAATAAGATCCATTATTGCTATAGATTGCTGTGGAGTTGCCAGAGATGACAAAATTGCAATGCAGTTGCCCAAAGCAAACCACCTGAAGTCCATCCTTGCTGGACTAACATTGCCTATAAAATATCCTCCATTAGTTGGCATAAATTCAAATACCCAATCTGGTATTGATTCAGGATTGACATTGAATTTGTTAACAGCTGTATGCGAGTATTCCTCTGTCTTATATCGATATATATTGTTCAATTGATGGAAATCCAACCAGAAGTAGCTGCGTATATGATAGTGCAGGGCGTGCAATCTTTTGCCAATCATTTCTAGGAACTCTTTTCCCCCGTCTTCCACTGTGAGAAGTTGACGTGCACACCTCAACGCCATGAAAAACAAGCTTTGAATCTCAATTGGGTAGCCATAAATACCCTGTATGAAGAACATTTATAGTCAAAGGGACAAACTTAAACCGCCAACAAAAGTAGCATGCAGAGATAGGTTAGAAGCAACAAAATCAGATTGATTCCTAAGGAAATACATGACTAGGGTCCAGTGCCAGCTCATGTAGTTATCTAACTGTGAGTTCATCTGTTGCCTCATAGTATCAACAGTGACAATGACTAACAGAATTGTGTTAACAAAAGGCATTTTCTCTGACTGGGAGAGAGAGAGAGAGAGAATGGAAAAGAAGAGAAGAGAGGTAGAGAGAGAGAGAGAGTGGAAAGAAGAGAAGAGAGGTAGAGAGAGAGAGTGGAAAAGAAGAGAAGAGAGGTAGAGAGAAGAGAAACGAGAGAGATGAGCACTGAGGAGGGACCACTGCAAAGATTCATTGCAATGGAATCTAGGGCATCGGTAGTCAACAGCAACATAACAGTGCATGGCTAGTGTAACTTGGGAACAGGAAATAAAAAGATACTGCACATATTCTGCAAGCAGATCCATATAGCATATAACAAGAATCGAGAAAGTGCAAAGCTTATTAATTGTCAATCAGATACATTGACAAAATTAAGGGTACAATTCAAACCATCGTTTACCTTTCTATATTTATTTTCTTAATAGATAGACACTTTACCAGCTAAAATATATCCCAAGGCCGGATGCCCCCATTAAGTACAATCTACGATTTGGGAAATCCTACATATGAGAAGCAAAAGTGTGTTGATACACATCACAATTCTGACACTCTAATATTTAGCTGATATTCATCAAAAAGAAGAAAAAAAAAATTCTAAAGAAATATTTGCCATTCCTCCAACGAAAAGAAAAAATAAAGTTCCTCACCATTCTACGATCAACCATGCAGCACCCATCTGCACAAAGAAGAGTTGGAAATGTGTCAAATCCCTCTGAAAGGCATAGCGACAATATTAACCGCATGCCACGCTGGCAATCAGGCATCTCTGCTAGTGAATAATCCCCAGTAGACTTTGTGTAGGCTCTCAATAGGATAATCCACCAAAACCCAGAGTCCACAGGAGCAACTCTTCCAATTGCAGTTTCCCCAAAATCTGCAACCATAGTTTCACTGTTCCTTACAGGATCATGCATCACTTTAAAGCTTGCAGGCATTACCCCTTTTGCAAGTGTGAAGCAATCAATGCGTTTCTCCGATGCCTGAAGTTTAAGAGTCCTTAACAAGAAGTTCTTAACTACGTCTGGCTCACCATTCATTAAGAATGCCATAGCACTAGGAATAAAATCCCTCATGAACACCTGGTAAAACATGCAATGGCCAAATGGTATTTTAGGAAATAGGAATTGATCAAAGTGCATATCATTCAGTGAAAAAGTTGTAGTTAGGGGGACACAGCCCAAGTAGTTAGCCATCAATCATGAATAATATATGTTTGTGCATGCATGCAGCCATCCACGAGCCATCTTCTTTATGTCGAGTAATAGCTACAAACCAATACAAGGAAGCCAAGAGTGATTTCAAATGATCAATTCAATTGAACTCAAGGACATAATCCTTCAATACATAAAAGAACACGTCAGAATCACAAGAAAATACGAGACACAGAACCCCAATCAATTGAATGATGAATTTATTCAGGACACAAAAACTGACTGGAAAGCTGAAATGACTGAATATTCCTGAACAAGCAGAAAACTAGATGGCAAAAAAATATATATATTTATATACTAATTTATTAATATTATATATATATATATATATATATATATATAT